GCAACAGGTGGGAAATAAACCCTGAGTACGAGAAGGTACTCAGCTAGACTTACCCGACAAAAATCAGAAATAAAAGACACCAAGGATCATGCAAGGCTTTACAGGTGGGCTAGCTTGACACATTTGCATAAAAGAGCTTATGAGCATAGTAACCAATTTAACTTAGCATCAAGCTTATCATCATTTACCTGTCCACTAGATTAGCACCTGTACTAGAGCACTCACTTATTAGGAGCAAACAATATTAACCATAGCAGGTATAATAAGGCTGTCATCATCATATCATCATTTCCGAACCATTAAGTTATTAAGTGCATCTACATTGGAGATAAGCCCGTCAAGTTCTCACTAACCGGGAGAGACGGCGATTCGAATCGAATTACAACTCAGCTGAGGGGGTATTCCTAACTCTCACCCTGGCATACTTTGCAAGGGTAGCCGTGGGTCACCTTTGGAACATCTCAGGAACCAAATTCGCGGGTTCGATCAGCGCCAGCACTCTCAGGGATTACCCTTCTGCCAGGACGATCAGGACTTTTAAATCACACCCTTGGACTCACGCCACGGCTCCCTTCCGAGGCGCACTTTATACTTATCGACTCCCGGCCGAGGTGAGCTACTCGGCCAGCGGTCGGTCATCGGACTGGCCAACTAAGAGAGAGGCATGCGTTCAACATGAACAGAAAGGCTCCAAGAATCAGTCCCTTAAGCGACCTGCATCGAGTCAACGCAAAACCGGCAAGCCTCCGTCCGGTCTTCATTTCAAATTAAGACCGGTTCTTTTCCCACGATAGCAAATATAGCCAACCGTGCCACATGTATCTTCCTATATCTCGCAGTGACAGAAATCACCCGACTTCTACAGCGTTTAAGCAGGGCTAAGCACTACTCGAGCCCTGAGCTACATAGGATTCGAGGTAACAATATCCGGACAAGGAATGGGTAACCAATGCAGCAAGTGTTTGCATCCAACACCTAAACTTAATGCAACAATATATGTAATAATAATATCAGAATCGCAGTTCGGAAAATAGGAGGCTTAATATGCTCCGGGGCTTGCCTTTCACAAAGTTGCAAGGACGGTGGTCAGGGCACTCAACGGCGACCTCGTCTGACACTTCTCCTGAAGGCTGCTCCTCCTGAATCTCCGGCGTCGGCTGCTGCTGCTCGCTCGGTTCCTCGAATTCCAGCAGGGTTACTCCTTCCGGTACACCTATTGCATGCCGATGCACAAGATAAATATCATGAATGCATAAGGAATGACATGATGCTCATGATGAATGAATCACAATGGGTGTTTACGAAAACATCACTGGACACTCGTTTACCGAGTAATTAGCTCTATTCAAATCACTTTAAGCATGTATCCAACTTAACTTAAATAACAAGAGCAACTTACCTAACTTGCATAACCTAAGATAAAGATGCTCATCTTCAGTTAAAGGCCTAACACCTAGGAACAGTACCATGAACTTAGATTAGTAAAGACATACTTAAAATAACAGTTAAAGCTTCATATGCAACAAGTAGTAACTTAATTCTACCATAACCAGAGTTCTATAACTCTAAATGACTTGCAAGAGGACATTCTGGAAAGCTTATGAAATTCTCTACAATTCACTTGTAAACATTAAAGCATGATTCTGAAGTTAACCAAATCAAATTCCAGTAGACCTAGAATCTGTCCAGAATGACGGGGTTGCTAACTTAATTATTTAATGATGGTGCAAAAGCCTAATTTGACCAAACCAAGTTTACCAACTTGTTTTTCATATCTAAGAAACATCAGAAAGTATAGTGCTAGCTTCTAAATAAATTATTTAATATCCTTTTCCAATTTATTTAGTTAATTAGGTGATTTAAGCAATATATAGTAAAACTATTCATAAAAATCTACAAAAATTACAGTAGCTATCTCATGCTGCACATAGACTACCATAAAAATTTCAAAGCAATTGGACCAACATAACTTGCTGTATCCAAAATAACAGATGTCATGTCTATTTCTAGCATAATTAGGAAACCTTATTAAAAAGTGTCAAGCAACAGATTTCCCATTTTTCCTAGCCTCCTTCTAGCATAAGAATAGCACCCATAAAATTTCACCTTCACTAGATCTATAGAAAAATTATGAAAATTCACACAAGATCCACTTATTAATAAAAGGAAATTCTATAACTTAAAAACTACACATGCACTAGCTCTAAAATTTTTACCAGAGCTTCACATCAGCAATAACAGACTGCCCACAAAATTTCATAATTTTTGGACCACAGAAACTCAAGATAAAATTCAAACAAGTTTGCATGCTTCTAAAAACACATTTCAAACTCCTATTTAATTCATCAAATTTTTCTAAAACATGTGTCCATATAATATTTTTATTAAATACTAGACATTATCATGAACTCAACAAAATTGGAACCATAGCATTTGGATCTACCAACTAGGAGATATATATTTTTGAATATCAACACAAATCTGTGAAATAATAAAGCAAAACAAATAAGAAAATAAATCACGGTCATTTGTTGGGCGGGCTCAAGAAATGACGGCCCCCAAAGCTCTTTGGCGTGGCCCAAGACACGGGCGCCAGTGCCCAACACACGGTGCGGCCCAGGCTGGCTCCCGCCTCAGCCTCGGCGGCCGACAATGAGCCCCCGCGTGATGCCGAGATGCACAGAGGAGCGGGGAAGGCGACAGCAAGAAACTCGCCGCCGGTGGCTTCTCGGCGTGAAACCATCTACGCCACGACGTTCGCCTTGACCATGCGCATCTAGTGGACCCATCTATTGCAACGATTGCAGCGGCTAGAGGGGTGGCGGCGAAAGCACGGCGGGCAAGACGGCCATGCGACGTCCGGCTCCGGCGAGGCTACTGGCGCTACTTGCCCTAACGGGTGGCTCTACTGAGCTTGAGAGGGTTCACGGACCTAGCTCAAGGCGAGAGGAGGGTAGCAATGGCGCTAAGGAGAGCTGGCCAGCGGAGCGTCATCTCCGGCGAGAACAACCCACGGCGGCGGTGGAAGGGAATGACTAATTCGTCCTTACCAAGGCACAAACGACTCACCGAGGGGGTGGGGTGGCGAGAGGGATCTGGCGAGGCTACGAGCGGGACGGCCGGCGCGTTTTTGCAGTGGCGAGCTCGAATGGCACAGCGATGCTTGGTCGGCAATGGCGGACGGCGTTGGCTCAGCGCTGTGAGAGGCAAGAGATGAAAAATGGAGCGGCGATGGGGTCGGGGACGTGGAGAGACTCACGAAGGAGCTGTGGTTCAGAGGAATCGGGCAATGGTGCTCGGGTTTGGGTGGAATTTGCTCGGCGGTGCTCGGTGTTCCGGTCGCCGTGCGCGCGGAGGAAGGAGAAAGGAAAAGCAAATGGCGCGGCGAGTGCGATCGGCAGGCGCGGGGTGGCTTCAAGGCGCGTCTGTGATGCCAGGAGGCGCACGGCGCGTGGCAGCGCGATCAGCCGGTCGACGACGCGCGGCGCACACGCGTCCGGCGAATTCTGAAAACGGTCGGTCACTGTAGCTCCGATTCAGTGCTCAATCCGAAGACTGACAGCGCCCATTCGACGATCATTAACTCCTAATCCGTGACGAGTTAGTGGAAGACATGAACATCAAAGCTGTAGACCTATCTTCCCTCTACAATTTCTTTTCAATGATAAACACCTAAAACGTCATGGATCCGAAGTTACATGAAGCTAAAGTTGGCTTGATGCAACTGGAAAACACTATGACTTAGAATATTTTTTCTAAGTGTTGAAAACAGCATGTATCTCTGACTTGTGGGCCATGTTTGACCATGTTCCACACATTTTCATGACTTGGCTATAAAACAACTTTTGTTCCTTGATAAATTTGCTACAACTTTTGTAAAGAGTGCACAGCCATGCAAAGTCTCTAAGTTACACTTTTTAAACAGTCAAACAATGAGACTCCTATGGTCAATTCTAGTCAACCCTTCACTTGAGGGCATTTTGGTCATTTTGATCTACATGAACAATGTCCCAACAAGTAACCTAAGTGTAGTTAAGGTGTATTAGACCATAATCAACCACTCTACAAACTTGTTATACCACTTCTAAGGATCACATGGAATAAAGCGACTAAAACAAACAATTCACTCATACGTTGCAAAGTAATGTTTCACATGTTTCATGGCTAGGTTGTTATTCTACACTTGTCACATTACTACCATGTTGCCATGTTTCCAAGTATGAGAGTTTCATGTTACATTCACATGTTGCACTACTACCATTCACAAGCAATCTAGTACGAAACAAACAGAATATGCGAATGTTTCATATGTATGTTTCAGGGAAAATGACATGATGAGATAATTGATGCACATGTTTATGAGACGAAATGCAATTAGTAGAAGCCAAACACCGAGGGTGTTACAAAGGCTCTTCAGTTCGGAGCAAGATAGTGTATGTATATATCATATGTGTGTGTGTGTGTGTGTGTGTGTGTGTGTGTGTGGTTGGCGTGGTTGCTGTAAATCTTGTCGTGAGTGAGAGATATGGGGTAGCCCCATCCATGTGGGGTATGTGCATCAAGGCCAAAGCCAGTATACATGCATAAACGTTGTCGTAAAGCGCACTTGGTCCATGTTATTTAAATGACCGTGCCTGCACAATAGGAACTGACGCTCTATAAGAGGAGCGTCGAGAAGGCTGTGTGCTTCTTCTGCCCTGCTCGCTGTAAGTATTCTTTTCTCTTCCCCATTTGGATCTCTTATTACTAACCCTGAATATATGCTTCTCTCATTAGTACATTACGTTCAATTCTGATTATATGCTAGCTAGCATGCAGTTTCGTTCTCTTGCATGTTTCACTCTTCACCATTTCCTACATTCCCTTAATTTTGTGCAGTGCTTCTTGCAGCAAGCTACATACTGCTGCGTGCGTTCAGCTTGGTGGTCGGAGCTAGCAGCGCATATATGGAATCCACATCCACTGCTGCATGGGCGGGACCTTACGAGCTTCAGCTGGCGATGAACTGGACCGCTGAAGAAGCACCAGCTGATGATGCTCAAGAAGTGTGGGCTCCTGCCGTTGGCCACCCTGCTTTGCAGTATTCGTCCATCGTCGACATATTTGGTTCCTCCTGCAGCCTCCAACCGTATGTCGTCCCTGCTAGCACTAGCAGCAGCTCTAGCGGAGGTCCGCAGCTACTGGTTGAGAACAACTACTACGCTGCGGCCGCACAGCATCACGATCCGACTGGGAAAGGAACGACGATGACACACGAGGATCTGTCGTCGTTTGAGCAGCAAATGGAGAGCTATATGAATAGCCCTAAGAAGCTATTCCAGGAAAGAAAGAAGGAGTTTGAGGATGCATATAATGCCCAATTCATGAAACAGAAGATGCACAGGTACCCTCCAAGCATTCGAGCTCTCGATGATGATGGTCTGTATACCGTCCCGAGGGTGGTGGCCATCGGCCCTTACCACCATTATGGCGGAGGCCATCTGAAGCAGGCGGAGGAGGTGAAGCATGCGGCTGCCTGCCACTGCATCACGGAATCCGGCCGCTCGGTCGAGGAGATGTACGGCGCCGTCATCTCGGCCGCGAATGACAGCGATGCCCGCGGCCTCTACCACACGGACGTGATGGCAGGTCTCGGCGACGACGACTGCTTCCTACCCATGATGTTCTTTGACGCCTGCTTCTTGGTGATGTACATCCTTAAGAGGTCGGGCGCAGAGAACTACGACCCGACGCTGTACGATTTCTTCGAGTCCAATGACGATGACATCGCTCATGACATCATGCTGCTTGAGAACCAGATCCCCTTGCAGGTGGTGGACGCCGTCATGAACATGTGCACGGCCGAGCCCTTGGAGAGAATGAAGATGTTCATTGCCAGGTGCAAAGATGGCTGTCTGCAAGACCGGGTTGAACCTGGATTGCCTCGTGTTGACTGGGATGAAGACTACTACAATAAAGCACCGCATCTCCTTGGCCTCCTCCGATTCTACGTTGTAGGAAAAAGAAGAAGAAGCAGAAAACCCAAGGTGTCTCCTTCAGATTTAAAGAAAATGGAATCGATAACAATTTCAGCCGGTGCCATCGAGCTTGCCGAAATGGGCATCTTCCTCACAGCCAACGAAACAACGGAGCTCCCAGACATGGGCCTCTCCAGGAAATGGATCATCTTCGCCGAGCTCTCCATGGCGCCGCTGTCTCTCAACGATGCACGTGCAAGCTGGCTCGTCAACATGGCGGCTCTCGAGCTATGCACGACTCCAGATTTTTTTGATGCCGAGGCGGAATTTGAAGACTCTGCTGTCTGCTCGTACCTCCTCCTCCTGTGCATGTTGATGCATCGGGAGGAGGACGTGCATGAGCTGCGAACCAAGGGTATCCTGCAAGGAGGAGCAGGGCTCAACAACAAGAAGACGCTCGACTTCTTCACCAGCCTGCAGAGCCTGCGCAAAGGACGCTGCTATGCCCTCGTCATGGTAGAGATCCAGAATTACAGGAACAAGAGGCCGTGGATCAAGGTGTACGCGTTTCTTTACAACAACTGGAAGTACATCGTCGCGGTTGGCTCCGCCTTTAGTGGATTTATCGGTATCATAACGGCGCTCATGAAACTCAAGGGCGCCCATTGATATGAGAGAGATGCATGTAGTATTTCCCTGGAATATTGTTGGTGCTGTTAGTATTCCCTGTCCATATAGTTTCTTCCCTTTGCATTGTACCTCCGAATGTATTTAATAGTGTTAGTTGATCTCCACCAATAGGCCCAATGGCCTATTGGGCCCTTATCTCTGCTCCCTGATCGGGGGAGCCCAACCCTAATCCGGTTGGTGGGCCCCTGTCGCACATCACACATAAAAGGAAGGTGGGGGTGAGGGCTCGGACTACGAGGTTCGCCGTGAGCCGCCATTCCCACCTACAGTAACCCTAATCCGATCTAAAGGCCGTGCTGCCAGCGACGGGATGAGCCCCCAACCACCGCCGTCGACCCACTGCAGGGTCACCACCGGACCGTTGTCTCTCCACCAGCGCCACTGGACTTCACCGCCACCGCGCTGGACGTCTTCTACACTGCGGCACCGGCGTCTACCCGCTACGGTGCATCTACTGAGAAGGCGAGGAGTCTACCCGGATCTATGGGTCACACAGAGGTACCAATCCTATGATCCTAACAATGGTATCAGAGCCGGTTGCCTTTGTGTAACCCTAACCCTAACCGGATAAAAGCAAAGAAAAGGGACCGGGGGTGGCGGATGTCACTGGAACCCGGTCACTACCGCCACCGCGCGGGGGAAGAAGAGCATTGCCGTCCTCACCGGCACGCAACAAGAAAAGAACAGATCCTTATTCGGATCAGAGAATAGAAAGGGGAAAAGGATCTTAAGAATCCCAAACCTAACCCTAATCGGGTGAAACAACAGTGAACAGAAAGGGGAAAGGATCTCAAGAACCTAACCCTAACCCACGCAAATAGCTCGGGGAAGAAGAAAAGAAAAGGTTTCGGCCTTAAGATGAACAGAGCCGAACCCTAAATCAAAGAAAAGAAAAAGAAATCAATTGAAAAGCGAAACCCTAACCCAAGAACGAATCCCCATCATTAATCGGTTCAATCCGAGAAGAAAGAAAGGAAAACAGAAAAGAAAGAAGAAGAAGAGGGGTCGGCACACGAACCCTAACCCTAGATCCCCTTTTCGGGTGAACGAGTGAAAAGAAAGAAAGAAGATAGAAATCGAATCCGAAGGGGAAGAAGAAAAGGAACCGAAGATTCCCATTCGGATTGAACCCTAGAACAAACCCTATTTCCCCACAGTTGGTTCGGAAAAGAGAGGATCAATCCAAACCAAAAAGAACTAGGGAAAAAGAAAAGGAAAAGAATGAAAAGAGACCTCGCCGTGAACCGAGCGAATCATTTCGCCGGCGAGGGAGAAGAAGACCGAACTCCGGGGGTGCTGCTCGCCGGAACAGGCCACTCGGGTGCCGCGGCCAGGCCGCTCGACGGCGGCGCGCTCACCCGCTGGGGAGCGCGCACGCCGGCGAGGGGGCCGGCGACGGCGCCGGGGCTCGCTGCTCCACTGCTCTGCCTTGCTCGCTCTCGGTTCGCCGCTCGGTGCTCGCTGCGCTGAGAAGAAAGAACGAGGCGAAGAGAGAGAAGAGGGAGGGGCGAATGAGATAGGGTTTCAGGAGAGCGGCGCCGGTCGCCGTTTTTGTTTGCCCGAGAACCACGAACAGCCGTCGAATTTGATCCAACGGTGCCGGTTGATCGGGCCGCTCTCGGCCCAGGCGGGCGAGGGTGTGAGGCCACTTTCCCGGCCCAGGCCCAGGTTGCGGCCTGGGCGCGGGGAGGGCGCGTGTGGCTGTGGGCCGTGGGCCGTTTCAGGCCGAAACAGTAAAGAGCAAGAGCCCAATTTTTCTTTTTCCTGGAAAATTGAATATGCAAATTGGCTCAAAAGAAAAATAGAAAAGTAATTTTTCCCTGTGGGTAAAATTCAAGAAATTGATTGAAAGTTTTTTCTGCTGCTAAAGAAAAAGTACATTCTCCAGTGTTTTGAACCGACGTGATATTTAACTGGAGAAAAATAAAGTTCTTCCAGTAAATGTTTATTTTCTGGAAAATTGATTAATAGATTAAAGGAAATAGAAAAAGCAATTTTCCCCGTGGGTAAAATTCAAGGAAAAGAGAGTTTTTCCACAGCCAAAGAAATTGGTTATTCTACAGTTAATTTGTACCAACGTGATATTTAATTGGAGAAAGGGAAAGTTTTTCCGCTGCTAAAGAAATTGTTGATTCTCCAGTTATTTTGAACCAATGTGATATTTAATTGAAGAAAAAGAGTTTTGATATGATTATGATGTTGTTATTTTCTGACCAATGTTGTTAATAACAATATCGTAATATTAATGATTTATGCATTAATTCTACTTCTGCCCAACAGTGATGTAAAATTAGTGTATAAGAAAAGATGATAATTTTAATGATTTATGCATTAATTCTACTTCTACCCAACGGTGATGTAGAATTAGTGTATGAGAACAGTTGTAAAAGTTAATGATTTATGCATTAATTCTATTTCTGCCCAACGGTGATATAGAATTAGTGTGTAAGAACAGATGTGAAAGTTAATGATTTATGCATTAATTTTATTTCTGCCCAACGGTGATGTAGAATTAGTGTATAAGAATAGTTGTATGTTTTGATTTTGACCAACGTTGGAATCAAGGCATGCAAATAGTGTTATTTTATGTTAAGAAAAGTTTTGACCTGATTTTCATCTTGTCTAAGGTGGACTGAGTAGTCACCTCACCGTGTTCCACTGAGATTGTGGCACCGGTGAGGGAGACAAAAGTGAATGATGCCACTTGGGCAACTAAAGAAAGGGATTTTGAATCCCAAAAGATATCCTATGGCTTTTGAGTATAGGAAGTGGGTCACTGCAAACAAGAAATATTTGACGGTGATAAAGAACATGATTGAACCTGCAATTGTGGGCTCAATCCCAGAATGTGACACGGTCACCGAATACCTCGATAGAATAAAGAGTCAGTTCACTGGCTCTTCAAAGACATATGCCACTTAGCTGATAAAGCAGTTGGTCACAGAGTGTTACTCTAGAAATGGTGGCATAAGAGAGCTCACGATGCGTTGTCGAAATTATTGCACTGTTGTTTAGGCCATATTTCGAGGGGGAGAATAGAAAGACAAGTTAAGAATGATATTCTTCCTCCATTAAAGCTCTCAGATTTAGAACAATGCAGAGAATGCATAAAAGGAAAGTATGTAAAGAAGATTAAGAAAGATGCCAAATGAAGTGCAGGAGTTTTATAGATTATTCACACAGACATCTGTGGTCAGTTTCCTGTAAAGAATGTGGATGGTAATGATTCGTTCATAACAGTCAAATATGAGTACTCCCATTATGGCTATATTTATCCAATCAAAGAAAGAAAAGATGTATTGGATAAATTTAAGATATTAAAGATTAAGATAGTCGGGTCTGACCGTGGAGGAGTACTACGGTCAGCATACCCTAAAAGAATGGCATAGTAGCCCAGTATTCTATACCGGGCAAACCTCAGCAGAATAGAGTAGCTAAAAGAATCAATCGTACCCTGATGGATATGGTGGGTAGTATGATAAGTTACTCCACCTTACAGTTGAGCCTGTGAATGGAGGCGTTGAAAACAGCCATTCATATTCTCAATAAAGTATCAAGAAAGTCGGTGCCCAAAACACCGTATGAGTTGTGGACAGAAAGAGTACCCTCACTAAACACTTGAGTGTGTGTGGGGGAGCCCTGCTGAGGCTAAAGTATTTAACCCAAACATTGGAAAACTAGATCCCAAAATAGTAAGTTGCCATTTCGTTGGCTACAAAGAAAAGTCAAAAGGTTTTCATTTCTACTATCCAAAGTGACATACAAAGTTTGTGGAAACGAGACACGCTATCTTCCTAGAGGACGAAAAGATGAGGGGGAGCAACAACAGCCTCAAATAGAAGATGTGCCAAATGTGAAGGTCCCTAGTAGGTCTCAAAGAGTTAGAAAATCAGCTTTTTCTACTGATTATGAAGTGTATAACACTAAGGAATTCCAAATGGAAGATGAAATGAAATCGATGAATGTCAATAAAGTTTGGGATTTGGAAATAATTCCTAAAAGAGTCAAAACAGTAGGCTATAAATGGGTCTACAAGACTAAACATGACTCTCAAGGGAATATAGAGACATAAAGTGTGACTTGTGGCAAAAAGCTTTATGCAAAGAGAAGAGATTGATTACAATGAGAACTTTTCTCTAGTCTCATGTAAAGTTTCCTTCAGAATCGTAATGGCATTAGTGGCACATTACGATTAAGAATTACATCATATGGATGTAAAGACGACATTTCTCAACAGAGACTTGGAGGAAAATGTTTACATGGCACAACCGAAAAGTTTTGTCATGGAAGGAAAAGAACGAATGGGATACCGTCTAAAGAAATCTATTTATGGATTAAAGCAAGCTTCAAGACAATGGTACTTGAAGTTTGATCGGTCAATAAAGAATTTTGGGTTTTAAAGAGAATGTAGAGGACAATTGTGTCTATGCAAAGTTTAAGATTGAGAAGCTTATCTTCCTTATCCTTTATGTAAATGATATCTTACTTGCTAGTAGTGATGTCAGTCTACTACAGGAGACAAAGAAGTTTTGTTCTCAAAACTTGATATGAAAGATCTTGAGGAAGCCTCGTTCGTTCTAGGGAACGAGATTCACCGAGATAGAAGGAAAAGGGTATAATGACTATCACAAAAGGCATACATGGAAAAGATCTTAAAGAAATTCAGTATGCACAAATGTAGTCCCTCACCTGCTCCTATAGTCAAGGGCGACAGATATGGGGATTTTCAATGCCCCAGGAACCAATATGAGCTCAATTGATAAAGTGAAAGTGGTTCCATATACTTCAGCTGTCGGAAGCTTGCAACATGCTCAAGTATGTACACGCCCTGACTTGGCATTTGTTACCGGGTTTTACTTGGCAGATTCCAGAGCAATTCTGGAATAGAACACTGAAATTAGTAAAGAAAATCTTGCATTATTTGCAAGGAACGAAAGGCCTCATGATGACATATAGAAGATCTGATTCACTCCACATAG